ACATTTCGAATGAACCGACGAAAGACGAGATTGTCACCGCCGACATTACACTTTCAATTGATGGTCACGACGTGACCGCACTGGTCGACACTGGTGCGGACTTTTCAATAATGAGTGCGAATCTGGCCGACCAACTCAAGAAGGTAAAAATGGAATGGACGGGGCTGCAAATTCGAGGAGCCGGAGGCCAGCTGCTGACACCTACCGGAAAGTGCACCGCACGAATCAAGATCGGGAATTCATCATTCGTGGCAACCTTCATTATTCTTTCTGAGTGTTGTAAACAGGCCATCTTGGGTATGGATTTCCTGCGCGCGAGTACGGTGCCATTATAAATATACCGGACAGTGTACTGACCTTCTCAGCGGACCATAGCGCAGCGCTGCAGCGCAAGCCCATGCGCGTGATTGATGACGTGACCATGCCTCCGTTGTCATGCCGCCTCATCTCTGTCACGTGTAACACGCAGAATAGTGGAGAAGGTGTCGCGGAACAAATATCGACGCTTTTACTCTCTCGAGGAATCGCTATTGCCAGAAGTCTCGTCAGTGTAGTGTCTGGGCAAGCAGAGGTCCTGTTGACAAACTTCAGCAACGAGCGTCGACACATTTCAGAGGGCACCACAGTTGCATACTTCGAAGAAATTGTAGAATTCCGCGAGTGCTTCGCAGTACAACAGGCAGAGACGCCGGCCGCTTCAACACCACTGCCTGTCGACGTGAGCACAGATTTATCGCCAGCGCAGAGGCAGAGTCTTCTAGATATTCTCGGCCAGTTTGAAGATTGCTTTTCGTCGACCTCGAGAGTAAATCAAACGCCACTGACAAAGCACCGAATTATAACGGAAGAGACGGCAAGACCAATTCGACAAAACCCATACCGCGTGGCACCGAAAGAACGCGAAGCAATCCAAGAACAAGTCCAGAAAATGCTCATTGATGACATCATTCAGCCGTCAAAAAGCCCTTGGGCATCACCGGTAGTGCTAGTTAAGAAGAAAGACGGCAGCTTACGCTTCTGTGTGGACTACCGCAAGCTGAACCACGTGACAAAGAAAGACGTATACCCACTACCGCGTATTGACGATTCACTTGACAGGCTGAGGCATGCACGCTTCTTCTCGTCGATGGACCTGAAAAGTGGTTATTGGCAAATCGAGGTCGATGCGCTGGACAGAGAAAAGACTGCTTTTGTTACGCCTGACGGGCTTTACGAATTTAAAGTCTTGCCCTTCGGATTGTGCTCAGCCCCAGCAACATTTCAGAGACTGATGGATACCGTCCTATCAGGCCTTAAGTGGCAGACGTGTCTGGTATACCTCGACGACGTCATTGTTTTCTGACCAACATTCGAGGAACATCTAAGACGGCTGCTATTAGTATTTCGAGCAATACGGTCCGCTGGCTTATCGCTGAAACCTGAGAAATGTCATTTCGGTTTCAAGGAACTCCGATTCTTAGGACATGTGGTGAGTCATGAAGGTGTTCGTCCGGACCCCGACAAGATCGACGCCGTCCGAAAATTTCCGGTGCCAACAGAAAAGAAGGCCGTAAGACGTTTTCTTGGACTTTGCGCCTACTACCGCAGATTTATCGCCAATTTCTCGCACATAGCATCGCCCTTAACACGCATAACGAGAGACGATGTTCCATTTTTATGGGGCGAAGAGGAACAAGCAGCATTTGACGGTCTACGACAGCGCCTGCAGACACCCCCTGTGCTTGCTCACTTTCACGAGGACGCTCCAACCATGATCCACACTGATGCCAGCAACGTTGGTTTAGGCGCTGTACTCGTCCAGTGGCAAGACTCAGCCGAGAGAGTGATTGCATACGCAAGTAGGACGCTTTCCCGTTCCGAGTCCCATTATTCCACAATGGAAAAGGAATGTCTTGCTGTAGTATGGGCAGTTCTGAAGTTTCGCCCATACCTCTACGGCCGTCCCTTCCACGTAGTCAGCGACCACCACTCTCTTTGCTGGCTGACCAACTTGAAGGACCCATCCGGTCGGCTAGCGCGCTGGAGCTTACGCCTACAAGAATTCGATATGACGGTCGTCTATAAGTCGGGACGACAGCACTCTGATGCTGATTGCTTATCCAGGTCGCCTATAAAGCAAGATGATGTCTCAGAAGATGATGACATGGCATTTTTAGGAGTGGTCGACACGGTCGCCATTTCGTCTAAGCAGAAAGAAGACAGTGAGTTGCTCCCTCTTATTAATTTTCTTAACGGCCAGTCTACAAGAGTTCCCAAGATATTTGCAAGGAGCCTGCCATCATTCTGCTTGCGCAGTGGTGTCCTATACAAGAAGAACTTTGCCCCCAGCGGAAATGCCCACTTACTTGTCGTCCCGACATCCATTCGCGATGAGATCCTGAGCGCTTGCCACGATGAGCCAACCTCCGGCCACCTCGGATACACGCGCACATTGGCCAGAATCCAACAAAAGTACTACTGGCCGAAGCTTCCAGGCACTGTAAAGCATTACGTCCGCACGTGTCTCGATTGTCAACGACGAAAATCGCCACCTTTAAAACCAGCCGGATTGTTGCAACCAGTTCAAGTGCCCACCATGCCTTTTGCACAAATCGGAATGGATCTCCTTGGACCATTTCCGACTTCGCATACTGGAAATAAGTGGGTAATTGTCGCTACGGACTATCTTACTCGCTACGCAGAAACAAAGGCTTTATCAAGTGGAACCGCAGTAGAAGCGGCACGATTTTTCATTGAAAATATCGTTCTGAGGCATGGTGCTCCTAGAATTATAATAACAGACAGAGGTACCGCTTTCACGGCCATGCTCCTCAAGTCAGTGCTTGAGTTGAGTGGAACAGCGCATCGAAAAACTACCTCCTACCACCCACAAACCAACGGCTTAACAGAACGCCTCAACAAGACAATTGCTGATATGCTTAGTATGTACATCGACGTGGATCATAAAAATTGGGACGACGTTCTACCATACGTGACGTTTGCTTATAATAAGGCGCAGCAGGAAACTACGCGGAGCACGCCATTTAGTCTTCTTTATGGCCGTGGAGTGACGACAATGCTTGATGCCATGCTGCTGCACGACTGCGAGGATACAGACACGGATGTTCAAGCCTTTACCCAACGAGCTGAAGAGGCACGGCAGCTAGCACGCGTGCGAATCGCCCGACAGCAGAGTTATGACGCACAACGTTATAACCTGCGACACCAATACGTCACTTATCAACCAGGCGAGAAGGTGTGGGTCTGGAGCCCTATTCGCCGACGCGGCCTTTGTGAAAAGCTATTGAAGAAGTACTTTGGTCCCTACAATGTTATACGGCACCTAAGTGACGTGAATTATGAGGTCATCCCTGACAGTTCCTCGCGAGCTCAAAAATCTGAAATCGTACACGTTGTGCGGATGAAGCCATATTACAGTGAGCCAGTTGCGTAATACGTCAACTACATACACCGCGTATTCTGTAGCCGAGCATCGGGTCGATGCTCTTCCTGGAGGGAGGCAAATGCCGCATTCAACCTGCAGAGGAGAGCTCGCACAGCCAGAGAAGAAGACGAAGCGCTTGCCCGGTCCTCTTTACGGCCTTTCATTTTTAATTAAAGTGAGCTCTTCTGTATCGAACTCCTGCTGTGTCAGCGTCGTGACAATATATATATATATATATATATATATATATATATATATATATATATATATATATATATATATATATATATATATATATATATATATATATATATATATATATATATATATATATAATCACGTGTCCCCGTCCTTTCCGTTTCTGCCTTTCGCTCCGTACGCCATACAGCTTAATTCAGGGCGTGATTAAGCTTCGCTGGATTGTGTATGGGCGAAGAACCACTAAAGAAGCTGAGAGCGCTAAACGAGCGTGTTAGGCGGCGTTTGTGTGTATGAAGTGTTTTTGCAGGAAAGGCACTCCCAGCTTTTCAGAATCACATCGACATTTTGCAAGATTCACAGAGCACGTGTGAGCAAACGAAGTTTGCAAAGCGAGGAGCCTTTGACGACAGCTAGACTACCAGAACAAATTATTTTTTTTTTTCTGCATGCTACACTCCCATGCTTTTCGTCTCTGCCAGTTCACTGTTTTTTCGAGCATACAAAATAACAGAACTTGTCCACATGTGTGAAATTCGGGCAGTGCTTCTTGAAAAGCCTTTATGGCTCAGAGAAACTCTTCCTAAAATGTGCAGGTGTGAATGCACGTTGAGGGACAACGTCATCTCATGCACGAAAGTGGGTGGGAAGACATTGCAACACAATGGGGACATTAGCTACACGGTATATAATTTCCAAAGAAACAGCGTCTGAAGACGTAAGACGAGGAATCAGTGATACATTATAATGTAATAATTTTTGCCGTTGAACATCCCAAAACCACGACAGGATTATGGGAGACGCTGTAGTGGAAGGCCCCAGAACTTTTGATCACGTCGGGTTTTTTAATGTGCATTAAATGGAAGCAACGGCGATGTAAAACACTCAATTGTGGGTGCTCATCCAGAGAACGGGTAAAGACGGCAGAACCAACTCGTCCACACCTAATTTTTATTCCGCACTTCCAAGATCCCCTTCCAAGAAGAGGATCTGTGAGGGCTTCCCATTGCTCACTATGCACTTCCCAGGAGCTGATTACCTCCCGGAAAAATTCTGTACCCGCCCCTAGTTGCAAATGACACCGTCCAACTCTCGATTCACCAGCTCTTCAGAAGGTTGCTCATCGTGTCCACTTTAACGCCTGAAACACTAAACATTCAACGTGTGGAGTGCCACCAGAAACCTTTGCATACTTTATAAGTCTTGAATCATGCTAGGTTGACAGCTTCACGACACGAGTGATGTGATAATTCTGATAACACTGATAATTTCTGTGCGTTAGAAATAATGTCATAGCAACGCAGGCGCACGACCTAGTATAGTGGGTTGCGTCCTCAGAGACGGACAGCACGTTGTGACTACAGGCAAGCATGCCCACCTGTAAAGCGCCCGGACACGAATGGCATTGAAGCGATGTTTCCGGCTTCGATGGTGCAGCTTCCTAGCGCCATTGGGCAGCTACTTGCCTCGCGCAGGAAGTGCTTTTCTCGGTGGCGCGGCGCAGAGCGTTGTCGTCGCGGAGGCCGAGCAAGCTCTCAGGCCAACAATGGCGTCGTTAATTCTCGCCTCGTCAAGAAAGCGTGTCCTCAGTTCACGAAACCATGGTCGTCATCGCGTGACGTAGCCCCCGAAACAACAGCCGTGACAAAGGAGTATGCGACTTCATGTGGCTTCAAGCACTCTCGAGCGGAAAGGAGAATGCTTCTTCACCACTGGATAGGGCGACGCCACGGCACGTGTCCACTGCACACTGTCCTGAAAGAACCGATGCGGCCGTTTGTCTCTCAAGCGCTTCTTGTTATTTTGCGTCTCTTAGGCCGCGTTACGACCACGTGTTATGGCCACTGCAACACGTGGGGCAACTGCCACGTCTCGCCGGGCAAGCCAAGTACCACTGTCGGGTTTCATTTATTTGTGTGCGTGCGTGCGTGCGTATATGTGTGTGGGGGGGGGGCGGTATTTCTTCTTTGTTTACACACACACACATTTTAACAATGATGACATGCACACATTTTAACAATGATGACATAGACTTGCTCGTGCAAGAGAACAACATGCCGATCCATACTCAAATGCTTTGCGGCTTCTTTGCTGCCACTAAAGTGTTACGCCAAGTTCGTATAAGAGTCCTTTATGCACTCCCGTTGCAGTGGTCTGTGGTATTGGTCCTGGTCTGAGTGCTGAACCGAAGGTCGCGGGGTCGAACCCCGGCCGCGGCAGACGCACTCGACGGAGGCACAACGCTCGAGGAGCGCTTACTTAGATTTAGGAGCACGTTAACGAAACCCGGGGGGTGTCAAATTGCGGTGCACTACCGCGTCTCTCATAATCACATCGTAGTTTTAGGATGTAGAACTTCAACAATTATTAATGCGCACCAAGGCAGCTTGCATCTAAAGGTGCGTGCACACATCCGTTAGCATCCTAAATAGTGGCTTTCATAACCAAGTATTCAGGTAAAAATGACCAGTTTCAACACTGATAATGTCAGTCTTCTTTAGTTAACCTTGACATCGAAGTCCACGGCCTTGACCGCTCCTGTACCGCTACCCCGATTGTGTGGGATCCCGTAAATCATGGCGGCGCAAGCGTACACGACCGTTTGTGAAGGGCAAACAGCTTGTAACTTGTCACGTGCACTCAAGAGTAAGCGCAGCACTTAAATTCCAGTTGCTACAGAATCATAGTAATGGCATGGAAAAAATCACAACATCAAACGTCTGCATGCCCAGCGGCAGCCATAGCTTGCGGCGTATCCGGCAATGTAGATACAACTGGTAACGAAAGCTCCACAGAAGCCCATACTATACCCATGCGTTCAGAAAATGATGGCTGATAAGCAGCTCATAGGGCTTAGCGCCATTTCCGCAGACAACGCAGCTCGCACATCGCACCAAGAAGAGCACACCCTTCCAATTCCTTTGTCAAGGACTGACGCTGCGAAGCAACTTCGTCACCTGGCACGTAGTCTCTGTCTGCTGGAGTGGAACATCTTGAGCATAAGACATACGAGACTTTACCAAATAAACCCTCGACTGGAACTTCGACCTCCATCCGGACTTCGTCGACGTGAAGCTTCGCTTCTTTGTCGCCTTTAGTTGGGAGTTGCCTTTACAAAAGCATATAAAACCCTCATCGGATTGACCGACAATGCGGAAAGCGACGTCTGCTGCACCAAAGAAGACAACGTCCATCTGATATGCCGTTGCCCTCGGTTTGCCTCTGAAAGACAGAAGCTTTCGGACGTATTGCGACAAGTGGACGATTAGCCACTCTCTATGGAGATGCTACTTGAACACCGTCCTCGCTTTTCGTCAGCTCAAAAAGCAGTAAAAGTTGTCTTGTGCTTTTCGAGGACTATAGGCCTACGTGACCACCTTTAACTTTTGTGTAGTGCCACCGCTGCATACGCGTCAGCCCATTGACTGACAATCTTTTTTTCTCTCTTCTCTTCTCTTTCCTCTCTCTCTCATCTTTATGCTCCCCTTCCCATTCCCCCAGCGTAGGGTAGCAAACCGGGCATGTGCCTGGTTAACCTCCTTGCCTTCTCTCTTGTTGTTCATCTGCCCCCTCCCTGTGAGAAGGAAATACTTCTGGTGAAACAAAAAAAAATGGCAGCATATCCACGGAGTGAATGATGGAGAATGGGGCGAAGAATTCGTCCGTCCATTCGTTCTTGCTTCCGTCCGTTCATGCGTCCGTCAGTGTGACCGTCCATGCGTCCATCAGCCCGTCCGTGCGTGCGTCTGTTCGTGCGTCCGTCCCTGCGTTCGTCCATGCGTCCATTCATGCATCTGTCTATGTGTCCGTTCGTCCATCTATTCAACACTCCAAGTACCACCATCTCGCATCTTTTCATCATATATTCCCCATATAGAAGCACCGCCATCCAGCGGACATTCCAAGGACTAAACGAGAGGTGGCACACGCACACATTCTTACGGCTTGCGCTTCGGGTCCACTTCCCACCTTTAACCACCTCGAGTTCATGGTATATACTAGTTCACTGTATTCATGGCACTGCGGCCCAACGCTTGCTAAACCTTTCGAAAACCAAGGAGGTTACGCCCAGCGAGTATGACGTAGCAAACTTTTTCAGTCAGATAGTGCTCAATGTACATGCCAATGGCTGCTAATGGGAAATGAGAGGCAGAGAGTTCGGCTTTTACTTTCTTACGGCTTGCGCTTCGTATCTACTTCCCATTTTTAACCACCTCGAGTTCATTCATGGTATATACAAGTTCATTGTATTCATGGCACTGCGGCTCAACGCTTGCTAAACCTTTCTAAAGCTAAGGAGGTTACACCCGGCGAGTATAACGTAGCAACCCTTTCTTGTCAGATAGTGCTCAATGTACATGCCAATGACTGCTAATGGTGATCGCAGGCTGCGCGTTAATTAAAAGCCAAATGCTCCTGTCTCTCATTCCCCATTAGCAGTCATTTACATGTACATTGAGCACTATTTTTTATTGTTCAACAACGCACAGAAGAAGTCTCTCACCGGCACTACCTTGAAGGTCAAAATGTTATACTTGTTACATACTACGCCAGCTAAAATAATACCGTCAACGCCAGCTAAAATAATACCAACTTACTTTTTGATACGGATGTTTAAGTCTACTTCCGTTCACATTGCCTCGGCTTTACAAGAAACTTCGTATTCGAACTTTTATTCGGAGTTCGTAGCGTCCTCCGCAGATAAATGAAAGCAACCAACAGCGCATACCTGTCGTATCTGCAGCGTTGCTAATTTGCCTCGCGATGCCCAGGTCCTTTAGCGTGCACAATCATTGTGTTCTTCAGAACTAACAGAAAAAAAATGAAGCATAGTCACGTCAAAATTATTACTTTTCCCGAGGTTTATTCAATGGTCACAATAGCCCCGCCGCGGTGGTCTAGTGGCTAAGGTACTCGGCTGCTGACCCGCAGGTCGCGGGTTCAAATCCCGGCTGCGGCGGCTGCATTTCCGATGGAGGCGGAAATGTCGAGGCCCGTGTGCTCAGATTTGGGTGCACGTTAAAGAACCCCAGGTGGTCAAAAATTTCCGGAGCCCTCCACTACGGCGTCTCTCATAATCATATGGTAATTTTGGGACGTTAAACCCCACAAATCAATCAAATCAATCAATGGTCACAATAACTCGAATTTATTACACTGCACACAATGGTGATGAACACAAAAAGTCTGCGGACACTACATGTGTTATGCTATTTTTCATTTTGCTATGCAGACAAGTGAATCGTAACGCGATAAATAACTCGGCTATCTGCTCATTGATAATGGGAATAATAGTAGGCACTGCATGCTAGGAAAGAAACCTGACTGCAGGAATACTGCTGCATGAAAATCCAGTGATCACCGTTTTCCGAACCATTAGCCTTGTTTTTTTATCTAGAAGGCATGGGTCGCCAGACATACGTTTGTGGCTACTGCATGCTTGCACAGCCCATTGTTTACACACGCTGGTATACCGACGAAAGCACTCGGCGTTAAATGTAATCCGCATTGTTCCGCTGCCCGTTGCACACTGCAATCAAGACGGTCACCAACGATAAAAATGCACCTCCCAACTTCAAGCACAGCACAGAACGAAAGCAAGGGCGGAACACTGAACCACGTGAGAGTCTGCGCCATCGCAGACTAATTTTACGAGCGTGCCTTTTCATGCAGTGCAAGAGCTGCACTGACTAATAATAGCGTGAGCAGAGGGTGGTAGAAAAAAAGATTTTTCATAATAATAATAAAACTGCCCTACATTTTATGCTCATTACTCCTGCATGATATTGCTTGGGGGAAAGAAATGTCATTCGTAAAACATTGCGAACGCTGTGACTTTTAATAAAACTTGGTTTTTTCCCTATTAGTATTTGCTCCCGCTTAAATCGCCGCTCCCATAGCTCCCCATGCTGATGTCGCTGGCAATAGCTTCCGAACCGCTTTTGGCGACCTATTTGAATAGACCTTGTATCTGGCGGCTTTCTTGGGCCAACAGTTTGGTGTCTTGCTTTAGCGCCAACTACGGGCCTCTGTACAGGAAAGTACACGTGCTATGCGGCATTCTCTTCCCTTGGAAAAAAAAAATGGCGTAGTTTTGCGTTCGTTGTCGTTGATTTCGTGCTTCTCTGTTTCGGTGGACTAAATCTGATTTGGCGAAACAGGAAGACGGTCGTTTAGGGCGAGTAGTTGAGCGATAGGATGCTCCCCAAAGAGCGTCTCCCATCAGCCGGATTCAGTTGGAAGAGCCCGCGTGGCTTATGCTGTCGCGGACGCTGCTCCGAAACGCAAAAGTCTGACGCATTTTGCGGAAGCTCCCGCTTTAATTCGATATTCCGGAACTTTGGTAGGAAAGAGATATCTAATTGCATTGATCGCAACAACTGGTTTCTAAGAATAACTGCTCGTGTTTTTTTTTTTTGTATGGATAACGAACAAAGAAATAAAGTCAAAATGCGCTCACAATATCAAAAATGGCATGCAAGTAGACATATAGAAATAATCTCGGGCTCTG